ACTAAATGGGTCTATCAATACCCACGCTACGTCAATTTTTAAAGACCCAAATGCTGCAATACACTTTGTCCTACCTCCATGACAAATATGTTGTTGTCCCCGCAGATAAAGCCCCAAACAACATCGTTTTTGTGTGTAAATATCATTACATAAACTGCTTGATAAATGAATTGGGTATTGACAAATCATTTGGAAACTCAACATATACCCTCACGACACTTACCAAAGAGGAAATCCTGGATAATCATAGGTCTGTTCTATGTTCCTTTGGAATTTCAATCAAAGATGAAGAACTGGATCTTCCATCACTGTATTGGATACATAAACTACATAAGTGTCCTTACAAACAACGGTATATTGCTGGGTCTTCCAAGTGCTCCACGAAACCTCTTTCGAAATTATTAACATCTATTTTATCAGCAATCAAAGCCGGGCTCCAAAGTTATTGTGAAACTGCCTGTTCTAGAGGTGGCGTGAATCAGATGTTGATACTAAAAAAATCCAAAGATCTTTTAGAGTACATACAATCTACGACTCTCTCATCTTGCAATAGTATTAAAACATTTGACTTTTCTACACTTTACACAAGTATTCCCCATTCCAAACTAAAAGACGAATTGAAAGAGTTGGTATTACTTTGTTTCATTAAAAAGAATGGCGAACGTAGATACAAGTATCTTGTCTTGGGGAGGGATAAATCCTACTTTGTAAAGAATCACTTTGATTGAAACAAAAAATTCTCTGAAACTGACATTACCAAGATGCTTGATTTCTTGATTGACAACATATTTGTTACGTTTGGAGGACTTGTTTTTAAACAGACTGTCGGAATTCCAATGGGAACCAATTGTGCCCTCTTCTTGCCGACTTGTTTCTTTATTATTATGAGGCTGACTTCATACAGAAACTTCTTAGGAAGAAAGATAAGAAGTTGGCAATATCCTTTAACTTTACGTTCCGCTATATAGATGATGTTCTCTCACTAAATAATACAACATTTGGTGACTATGTTGAACGAATCTATCCCATCGAACTAGAGATAAAGGATACTACAGATACAGTTAAGTCTGCCTCATATCTTGACTTACATCTAGAAATTGACAATGAGGGTCGGTTGAAAACAAAACTTTACAACAAAAGAGATGATTTCAGCTTCCCAATTGTGAACTTTCCATTTCTATGTAGCAACATTCCAGCAGCGCCTGCATACGTAGTATATATCTCCCATTTGATACGATATTCCCGGGTTTGTATTTCCTATCATGATTTCCTTGATAGAGGATTACAATTAAACCAAGAGTTCCAAATGGTGAAGTTGAAATCGTCCCTTCGTAAATTTTACGGACGCAATCACGAGTTGGTTGACCGTTATGGAATAACCGTTTCACAGATGATATCGGATATGTTCCTTATGCCGTAACTACAATACCCTTCCCTTTTCACGAATGTGACCTACCGAATTAGACTATTTACCGGATTTGTAATAAAATAAGCAACACGACGGGTGCCACATGTGGAGCAGGATCTGCTTACCCTTCCGGAGCACCTGAGATCACCCCCAGTTTTTGGTGGGGTTTGTGTTGCTTAGTCTTTAGTTTTTTATGTTGTGTCATCTGTACTATTATTTGTCTGTTTGTCTTTTTATTTTTGGCCATGGCGTTGTCAGTTTGTTTTCGATCTATGAGTTTGACTGTCCCTCTGGTATCTTTCGTCCCTCTTTTCCTTAGCTTTACATCAAATGCGTTCACATCTTATATCTTGTCAGTATGTATTTTTTGTAACAGTGCTTTTCATAACTGCTATACAACCAAGAAGAGAGATTCTCGTTCCATAACTTTTCACAGTATACTCCACCTGGAGCAAAAAGAGAACAGAAGAAAGGGAAAAGCGTATGGATGTTCGTAGACATAATTTTTAATAAAATTCTCCTTTATGTCCAAAAGTGAAAACAAGGTTTGGATATGTGTTAAAGTAGATTGGAGTATACCTTTTAATCGATATAAATTCAAATAATTTGTCAAAATGAAGTTTTTATCATGCTTTTGCAAGAATATGATAAAAAGTATGAGTCACGAGTTTTTTTTTCTTTCTTTCAAGCTACTGGTTGTGCACAAATTGACTGATTTTGTATAGTTTACACATGGAAAAATCAAATATTTTGTAATAAAAAGAAATCCAAATGATATACTTTTAAGATACAGAGAAGATACCTCTAATAATGTCCTTTCAGAAAAAAAAGGGGGTCACATGATTCGTTTTGTTCCCTAAAAAACATAATTGATAATTTATTTGCTACACATTTTGTCTATAGATACTATGTTATCTGATTTATCTCCTCTAATATGGTGAAGTTGAAAAAAAAACTAATCATACAAAAATGTTCTGTATTTAAATGAAAGATGTTTTAATAAGACAACACATATTGTTTTCTTCATTAGTATGAAAAGTCTAACAAATAATTTACATTCCTTCAAAATATGCACATTTTTCAAGATCTAGACCGATTGTCTTCTGCTAAGTTCCAAACCAAGATGGCAAAAGACACCCAATCTATGGTAAATTAAAGGATCTATTGATGAGATGTTGTGTTGTTTTCGTTTAGGGTCCACTCCAAGATTTGTGAGATGTTTGTTGTTTAATCTATATATCACTGTGGGATGTTTTGTATACTTTGGTTCGTCTTATTTTATATTCGTTTGGCATTAATGCTGTCTTCTCTTCTTTCAATGAACTGTGACGTTAGTAATGTTTTTGTTTAAAGTTTATTTTCAAGGATGTATCATCTTAAATCTCAGAACATTTAATACAATTTATAAAAGTCTTATATTGAAATTCATAGTGTCATAATGCTATATTGAAATTCATAGTGTCATAATGCTTGTATTTGTTCTGTACATACTTTATTTTAAACATATATTGTCGGAAACATTCTGATAGTATTTGTTAGATTAGTTGCTCTTTATAGTCAGTTAATTGTTGCTTTTAGCCTGCATGTACTTCAGTGAAGAGATACAGCGTTATCGATACCAAGCAAACAGTTTTAGCACAATCTTAGGATTGACGGGAAAGGTTCCTTTCGAATTTGAGAATTTCAAAAACAATGTATTGGGACCTCATTCATGCAAAATTGGAAATTTTCACAAATGCTGTTCAATAACTCAACTTTGCTCTGATGGTTTTTCCTGAAATTTTATTATAGAGTAAGACTTGATTAAAGTAAGCTCCTTTTAAATTTTGTATAATTTTCATTTGTTCCATTACTGAGTTATAGGATTTTATTTATGAGAAATTTACCAATTTCACATCTCGCGTACTATCTCCAATGCATTTTGATTGGTTTCCTAAAAACTTTACACTGTTGTTGAGATTGATAAAAGGAAGTTTCTCTTCGATTTAACGGAACTATAAACAACTATCATACAAGTGGGAGGTTTATCTAGCTAGAAAACCAGGTTTAACCCACCATATTCTTCGGATAATGCCTGCACCAAGTCAAAAATATGACAGTTGTTTTCCATTTTTACCATTCGTTGAAAAAGTCTAATGTTTGATTTTGTCAGGTTTTATGGACTTACCCCTTTTTGAATTTTCATTGGAGTTCGTTTTTTTTTGTAAAAACGTTTTTAATTACTCCTGATAAAATGCTTTTTTAATATTCCATTTATTCTGGCAACAATTTCAATATGCACATAGGGGCGTATCGTGCACTCTTGGCGCAACTGCTGTTTATACTTACCATGTACTTATTTTTAAAATTACTTATCAAACTTATTCGCTTTACTTTTTCTATTTCGAAATGTTTTTAATTGAAACAATAATATGGTAATCCTAATTATTATTCACCTTATTCATACAGTATTTCTTGTCATGTTACTTAAGACATATCTTAATATTCCCCGTGGTTTTCTGAATTTTGAATTATTCTAATATCTTAAATTGAAATGTCGGTCAAATTTTTGTTAGATTTCATTGCCCGTTATAGTCTTCATTTTTTGTATCTTACCCTGCATCTACGATTCTCAAATCATGGATGTGCCGTGAACGAATTCAAGCAAGGAATGTTTCGGCTTAAGCTGTCTTTCACTGAAAGAGAGATATGATCTTTTTGTTTGTGTTTTGGACCTCCTTGTGGTTTTGTGTCAGATTCTCGAATTTTCACCGTTTCGATGATTTATCTTGTATCGTTATTATGTCAAGTCATTACAAAATTATTGATTAGATTATTCATTTCTGCGGGTCCTTGGACCTTAGAAAATCCTGAATACTGTTGTTGAAAAGAGCACTTTGAAGACGTAAAACCTCATTAAAGACTGCAGGCTTATAATTTTGTATATAAGATTATTTTTTTCGACTTATGAGTTTGAATGTCCCATTGGTATCTTTCGTATCTCTTTTACAATCACTGGGTCGATTTCTCTGCTGGTGGACATTTTGCCCCGAGGACATCATCCGCCCAGTAGTATTTCTATGTTGTGCTTTGTGTACTGTTGTTTTTCTGTTGGTTTTTTCTTTTTTAGCTATGGCGTTGTCAGCTTATTTTCGACTTATGAGTTTGACTGTCCCTTTGGTATCTTTCGCCTCTCTTTCATTAGTGACGCTCGATTCAAAACAGTTGGTATACCAAAATGAAAGTGTAGATGACTGACTTTAGAACATAAAGAGTAATGATATACTTTTTAATTTGCTTATTTGCTTAATACGCAATGTAACAAATTCAATTATAGAAATTCCAGCTTCATGTAAAGCACAATAGATTCAGATACTTTAGTCATTTCGATATACTTTATTTTTATTCATGGGATATTGACTAAAAGAATGTAGCATGGAAAAAACTCGTTTCAGGATTAAGGATCCATGCAACATTCATTCATGGAATCTAAACTAAAGATGACATTTAAAACAATCACGCACAATAGTAATTAAAGGTTTCGTATTACATATCTGTTACATCAACAAACATTAAAATCTTTTAATCAATAATGAAAAAAGTAAATATTCATTTGTATTAGTACACAACTACTAGCCTACTGGTAAAGATATCACATTATCATGTTGAAGATCAGTTTGATTGTCCTTTTGTCCTGTGTTTGCTGTCGAGCTGGAAAGCCAGGATGTTTAAAAGAACACCTCATAAAAGAAATTGAGAGGAACTTGAAAGATCTACAATCTATTCATGTTCACAACGGTGGTATGTTGTTCATTTGCACACACATTGCTGAAGTTATTTTTCTATGAACAGCAATTCTCAATCGTATTTATGCATATTATGTGATATGTTGAAATAATTGTGGTTTTAGGTTGGTTGTAGAACATGATTCGTGCCTTAATTAAAAACAAAATGATTATAAAAAATCTTAAGATGACCTGTTTTTTTTTCTTCAGAAAACTCAGGCGAGACGTATATCAGATGGGGGAAAACATCATGTCCAAAGGAGTCTAATCTTGTTTATGATGGTAAGTTGTTACTGTGGTTCTGATTGAAAGTTTCATCATAGAAACAAGTATAAAGTATATTATATAGTTGTGTTTGATTCTTAAGTGAGGAATTTAAATAGTATACATAAAAGTCAGATGCCTAAAATAAAAACATTTTCTATAATACACAAAGAAAGGCTAATTGAGCTCATGCTACTTGTTTATTTAAAGCCTTAATGCTATTTGATATTAATTTGGTGCAATTTTTTATTTTAAGTATCTGAAATTTTATTGAACTTTTTGTAGGATATGCTGCCGGAAAACACTTCAACATTGGTGGGTCTGGTGCAAATTTTCTATGTTTACCAAAGAATCCTGAATGGAATAGTTATAAAGACGGGGTAAACACGTGGAGGGGTAAAATATATGGTATCGAATATGAAGTAGGCCAGAAGCCATATCCATCCACTTTTCACGATAAAGATATGCCATGTGCTGTATGCCAGTCTAAAAGATCAACAGTTTTAATGGTACCAGGTAAACTAACGTGTCATGACGGATGGCACAAGGAATTTTCTGGATACCTTATGTCGCAATCAAGTACAAATGGTCGTACTCCAGCAGAATACATCTGTGTTGATGAGAAGTTAGAATCTGTGCCTGGTGGAGATTCAGGTCGGAATGAGGCTGTCGTGTATCCAGTGGAAGTTGTTTGTGGAAGTTTGAAATGTCCACCGTACGTCAATGGCAGAGAGCTTACTTGTGTTGTCTGCTCCAACTGAAATAAAAAAAAACTATAATCTGAAATAAAATATGCAAGTACAAACAATTGTTTTTCATGTTATTTTCAATCTGTATAATTAAACATGCTCATCCCGGTTCGTAGTTATGTTCATGGTTGTTGCTTTTGGGATATCACTTTGTTAATATAAAAATAAAAAGATGTGGTATGTGGTATTGCCAATGAGACAACTCTCCATCAGAACAAATGGCGTAGAAGTTAACAACTATAAGCCACCGGACGGCCTTCAACAATGAGCAAAATCCATACCGCATAGTAAGCTATAAAGGGCCCCGAAATGAAAAGGGTAAAACAATGCACACCTTGAGTTATATGTCGGTACGCACTATTGTTATGTATTAAAACAGATGTAGGGAATACGTCAACGACACAAAAAAGAATGACATCAAGAGGCCAACAATACAGTTTTCATATTAATTGTTTATGGCTTTTAACTAGCTTTCAATAACTGCGAGTACTCTCAAATCGTACTTTCGTGTTAATTTGACCTGTTGACACAATTTGTAATGCATTTCTGTTATTCAGAGCTAGTGTAAAAATTACGATTCGGTCCCAGTGCTTAAAATCCCTTGATCCCTTATGGGTTGATTTGGCATACATAAATAAAATACAAAATAATTAAGCAATGAACGAGGTTGTTAAATGTGCTTTTTTGTGCTTCTTTGTTAAATATTTGTTTGTTTTTGTTGTGATTAAGATTGTGACACGGTGTTGACTGCTGTACCCCTATTTTGACATTTTTACCTTTAATGTCTGTTTGTTTTATTCACGCATCGTTGTTAATATAATGGAATTTGATGCAACTGTCATACAAGTGAGAGGTTTAGCGCTATAAAACCAGGTTCAATACACCATTTTCTACATGAGAAAATGCCTTTACCATGTCAGGAATATGAAAGTTGTAATCCATTCGTTTGATGTGTTTGGGCTTTTGATTTTGCCATTTGATTAGGACTTATATCTAGAACTTGACTATGAGGGTCGGTTGAAAACAAAACTTTACGAAAAAAAAGAGATGATTTCAGCTTCCCAATTGTGACCTTTTCATTTTTAAACCAAAAGTTCCAAATGGTGAAGTTGAAATCATCACTTCGTAAATTTTACGAACGCAATCACGAGTTGGTTGACCGTTATGGAATATCCGTTATACAGATGATATCGGATATGTTCCTTATGTCGTAACTACAATCCCGTTCCCTTTTCACGAATGTGACCTACCGAATTAGACTATTTACCGGCTTTATAATAACATGAACACGACGGGTGCCACATGTGGAGCAGGATCTGCTTACCCTTCCGGAGCACCTGAAATCAACCCCAGTTTTTGGTGGGGTTCGTGTTGTTGTTGTACCCCTATTTGTGACATTTTGTTCACGCATCGTTGTCAATATAATGGAATTTGATGCGACTGTCGTACAAGTGAGAGGTTTAGCGCTATAAAACCAGGTTCAATCTACCATTTTCTACATACGATAATGCCTGTACCAAGTCAGGAATATGACAGTTGTTGTCCATTCGTTTGATGTGTTTGTGCTTTTGATTTCGTTATTTGATTAGGGACTTTCCGTTTCGAATTTTCCTCGGAGTTCAGTATTTTTGTGATTTAAATTTTTATTCAATGTTTACTTATTTTATGTTATATTTCGTCTTACTTTTTTTAATATTTACCACCTTTGATAAGTATTTAGTATGACGAAAAAATGTTCACTTCTGTACTCGTACTATGAATAAAAAAATATTTTGTAAACAATGTTTCTGTACTCCTAACAACAAAATTATTATATTTAAATTTACCTGTGTACGTTACTTTATTTAAGGCCATTTTGTCATAGGTTAAAGTTGTCTTTTTGACATTGAAACATCTTTTTTATTTATATTGTGTCATAGATCAAACTTATTCGTTCAGTGTATATGTGTTTGTGTATTGTCCTTTTGATCGAGTGAAGCCATTTCAATTGATATTTTATTTTGTGTGTTTTTTTATGTTGTAATGTTATACCACTGTTTCAGGTTAGGGTAAATCCCCTGCATTTTTATGCACCTGTCCTAAGTCAGGAGCCTCTTGTTCAGTGGTTGTCGTTTGTTGGTGTGGTTCATAAGTATTTCTCGTTTTTTATATAGATTAGACCGTTGGTTTTCCTGTTTGAATTGTTTTACACTAGTCTTTTTGGGGCCCTTTATAGCTTGCTGTTCGGTGTGAGCCAAGACTCCGTGTTGAAGGCCGTACTTTGACCTATAATTTGTTTACTTTTTACATATTGTGACTTGGATGGATAGTTGTCTCATTGGCACTCATACCACATCTTCTTATTTATATTCTTATTCTTATTCTTATTAAAGCTGTCAGTAACTGCGAGCACTCTCAGATCTGTTCTAAGTGTATTTTTGTTGTTGGGATGTACAAGTACCCGTCCACGTCCACTTTGTGTTTTTGTTGGATATATTTCTATTTGTATCCATCGGATGAGTTAAGCCTTTTTCAACTGATTTTTATAGTTTGTTCTTATGTTGTACTGTTACACCACTGTACCAGGTAAGAGGGAGGGTTGGCGCCTTTAAACTAGTTTAACCCCGCCACATTGTGCCTGTCCCAAGTTAGGAACCTGTAATTCAGTGGTTGTCGTTTGTTGCTGTGTTTCATATTTGTTTTTCGTTCATTATTTTGTACATAAATTAGCCGTTAGTTTTCTTGTTTGAATGGTTTTACATTTATCATTTCGGGGCCTTTTATAACTGACTATGTGGTATGGGCTTTGCTTATCGTTGAAGGCCGTACGGTGACCTATAAATGTTAATTTCTGTGTCATTTTGGTCTATTGTGGAGAGTTGTCTTCTTGGCAATCATACCACATCTTCTGTTTATATATACGAGTTTATTCTCGATTTTTTATGTTGTCTGTTTTCTTTTGCCAAAAGTGTTGCTTGGATTTCGACTACATTTGTTTACTTCCTTGATATCGCCTTACTTTTAGTATTTATTTCAAACATCAGCTGCTTTCTCCAGAAAATATCACAGCTGCCTATAAAATACAATATGAAATAAACGCTATTTTAAATGCCTTTAGACGAATACAAATATCCAGGAAGAAGTAAAAAGATTATGGTAGATTTGTAAAACTGTTCAATGTGTCCTTACGTCCTTTTTGCTCACATTTTAAACCCTACAAACACACAAGAAAGATACCACAGGGATATTTAAACTCATAAATCGAAACCAATCTCACAGTGCCATAGCAAAAAATGAAAAAAGACAAACAGACCAACAACAGGACACAAAAACACAACACAGAATACAGACAGAGCAACAAGAACTCCACCAAAAACCGGGGAGGATCTCAGGTACTCCGGAAGGGAAAGCAGATTCTGCTCCACACGTGGCACCCATCGGGTTGCTCATGTAAGTAAAAACCCGGAGATCAGTCTAATTCGGCAGGTCACATTCGAGGAAAAAGAGAACGGGATTGTGGTTACGACAATTGTAACATATCGTCGTCATCTGTGAAACAGATTTTCATAACCGTCAACCAAATCGCGACGGCGTCCGTAAAATAAAATAATTTCTTTATTCCCTATGATTAGCGCCAATGTTGTCATCATGATCTTTTCTTTAGAATATCTTCTATTCCTTTTTTTCTAATTTAATTGAATTGTATATTTTAACCAGTACTGATAGTTAAGAATAAATTACATCAATGAAACAGATGATACAGCAAACCAACGACACAAAAAACGAAAAAAAAACACCTAGAGGTCAGCATACGACCTTTAACTATAGATATATAGGTTTGTATACAACATGTTAAGATCTGAATTGTCTTGAAGTGTCAGTTAAATGGAGAAATTGTTAAACATAGACTAACAAAGACCTACTCAAGATAACACAACGTTGACTGCTGTACCCCAATTTTGACATTTTTACCCATTATGTCTGTTTATTTTGTTCACACATTGTTGTCAATATAATTGAATATCATACGACTGTCGTACAAGTGAGAGGTTTAGCTAGCTATAAAACCAGGTTTAGTCCACCATTTTCTACATAAGGAAATGCCTGTACCATGTCAGGAATATGACAGTTGTTTTCCATTCGTTTGATGTGTTTGAGATTTTGATTTTGCCATTTGATAAATGACTTTCTGATTTGAATATTCCTTGGAGTTCTGTATTTTTGTTATTTTACTTTCTTCTGCCAATACCATATTTCCTAAATGACAAAACCACTTAGATTAAATAAAAAGACATGCACTGAATAGGTTCCTGATTTTGGGAAAAAAACGAAAACAACACTTTATAAACTTCATGCGTCCGAAGCGCTTTTCTGGATTTACCTTCATCAGGAACGCTCAAAGCCAAATATTTGAAAGCCAATGATGTATCAGAACCGAATTAGTTGAAGAGCTATATCAACAAAAAGGACCTTAAAAAATAGCCAAAATCCATCTAAGGTCAACTTTGCCTGAGGGAGTTGAAACCTTAGTTTCTTATAATGGGACATGCATATGATCATGCGACGAGTTTAGAATAATCTATTAAAGCGGTATAAAAGAAAACAAAAACACAATAAAAAACAAACAATGATAAATTATGCCGTATAAAAAAATCCTCTCAATTACTGCTGATGTAAAATTATACCATCTTACACTAGAATATCGGAGTTGTGTTTCAGGAAGACATCATAAACAAAACAGGAAGACGATAATTTGTGTCATGCTTAGAATATACTTGTGTATTAATTTCATGCAGACAAAATAAACATAACAGTTTTGCTACTTAATATTGTTGAGGGAATTAAACTTGGCGACAACCCTATAAATTACAAAAGAGAAGCAATCAATTCTGATAATTACATTTATATGCTTCAACCCTGGATTTAAGAGTTATATTAATCTTTACGTTTGTTAATGTGTGCATTGTCGTGACGTTGTCATGGGAAGCACGTGCAGTAATGAATATTGCATTTGATTGAGAAATAAAAATTTCATTTTGGAATGCTTCGTGAGTGTTGTCTACCAATGAAAAGTACAGAA